CAACTCTGCACACGTACTCACAACAACGCAAATACCAAAATGTGGTCTGGCCCGAAAATGTCAATAGTGCCAAGACTGAGAAATCCGCCATGGAGGGACATCACAAAGTCCCTTTGGCACAAGGTCAAAGTAAGTCCTCTCCGTTCTGCTTCAGGGGTGGTTCATGTGTCTGTGAGGACCCCTCACTACCACTCAGCGTCAGAGTGACTGTCAGGAGAAGCTCCATCCTGTCTTGACCAGGTTCCACGGATGGAGTCCATGTGAGAGGGGAGAAGTAGGGGAGGGAAGAGAAATCAAGCATTTTTTTCTGATTTGTTACACTCTTTCCCCTCCTACACTACTAGCTGTTAGAAGATATTTGTTTCTGCAGATGAAATTGTTTGGTTTCTCACTGAGATATTTTCTCAATACACAAAGGGAAACTGCTTTTATAGGGGTACCCCAAACACGGCATTTCTTAAAACACTCTCTAAGAGATGGCTAAAAACAGACTTTTAAAAATATACCTAATACCACTGTCTTCCTTTACAGTTCCTCCTTCTCTTCTACGTGGCTATAATAAACTACTCCCATGAGAAACAACAAACAAGCTTCCACATCCCAGGAAATATTCAGTCCAATCTCCCCAAACCAGAGTGTAGTCCAGCCAACTGACCTGTGGGGTAGACATTGCTTCCTCTGTTCTTGAAGATGCTATGATGGAAAACGTGATGGGCTCCATGATTTTATGTGTGTGCATCCCTGGAGCTCATATCCCTTGCTTCCAAAACCAATCAATAACCCCTTTGGGATATCAACAAGATACAAACAAAACAACGTCATCTGGGGACTCAGTGAATGACTTTGGTGTGATATAAACAGAGGAAAAACCTATTCTGACTTGGTACATGTTTTAAGTCCTTCCAGAGTTCATGATGAATTGCAGAGCATTGCACCTGCATCCAAACACTGTTTTGTGAACCAGAGATCACACATTATGAAATACATGAATCTGTCTTATAAACTTTGCCTGGCTTATCCTCAAAACTCCTTCCCGGAGGTCGTAGGATCCGAAGTCCCACCAGACTTCTGCCAAAGCAATCTGACACATCGGGTAACAAATTCTTTTAAAAGATACAATCTTCAAAACTTTGGCCTTCAGTAAAATTGGAAGGCAATCTAATCTTCCTTAATGCCTGACTTAAAAAAGTAATGAAAGATTATTGCGAGAAACTGGCTTGAAGATCTGTGTGTCATTACAGTTACAGCACAATTTCTGACAGTTTCTATTCTCCTTTACTTTCATTATGATGAAAAATTCTCAGTATTTTCATCTGTCAAAAAGTAGAAATGGGAAGAATGTATCAAGATACATTGACTAGAGAGGAGGTGAAGAGTGTATAAGTTATTTGAGCAAAATGGGTTATTAATATTGGAGAAAGCTGGTATTTCTAATTTGCCAGATTAAATAGGTGCTGATGCTAATGACTACCTAGACTTCACTTTGTTTTTAATATGGTCGCATAGGCAATCAGCATTCAACACTTAGGGCAACTTTGTTTTAAAGGGAGGAGTGTAGTTGAGAAGGATTCAGACGTTATGGTCAGAAAAACATCACAAAGGGTTGATGGTAAAAGGCAGAAAAATAGCACGGAATGCAGGCTGGGCCGGCACTCATCACACTTCATCTTTGCAGGTGGGATTTTCTGAGATCCATGCTACCATTTTGAAGCCACTGACGGAACCTGTCATAGCTTGTCGCACTGTGACACTGGAGCTCCTTTGAAAACACATTCGGAATATAGATCATGTCTATCAACTCTCCATTGATGTCAAGTAACCTGTACACACAATACCACACACACAAACACTCAAACATACACACATACACATATACACATATACATACACTCTAGGCAGTACTTACACAATGAAAAAAAAATTGTTGGACGGAATCAGTACTACATTTTGACCTCCTTGTTGTTATGTTTTAGTCTCCTGAATAAAATTCCTCCCTTATTGAAATGTGTCTCCTAAAACTCTGTCCACTCCTTCATCCAGGGACAGGTATACACAATACCTATGTGATGAAGGCATCTCTCCTAAGTCCCTAAGTGGATTTGAACTTTTCTTTCTCTCAAGCCCTCTGGGATACTTACCATTTTCTACCTAATACAACACTACCTTGGTCCTACTGTCAACATAAATTTTTCATTCCTTGAAGGATGGAGACTATGTCTTCTCTTAACTACTATTTGTACTTTTATAAGAGAAATGCATGTGTTTATGGACAACCTAGTCTACTTCAGGTAAAAAAGAAGAATGAAATTAATATTTCTCAAGATTATAAATGTATTTCACATGACATCTATGTTGTGTTTTAATCTTTAAAATCAGATTAGCTTAGAAGTCTCAATTTTGTAGATGAAAAATTAAAGATTTGAGAGATTGATGAGGTTTTTCTCCAGTAAATAAAAGACAGAGTCAAGTTTAGTCTCCTTGAGCCAAAATCCATGTTCTTTCCATTTCATAACACTAACTCTTATTAATTTTAAAGCTATCTTTAAAAAAATCAACATTTACAGACACGCTTTATTTACATACCAAGGACAAGGTCTACTAGATAACGTATTCAGTAAGAAAAGACTTTAGAGTCCATGATCTTGCTGACTGTATCCTTGACATCCTTATTTCTCAGGCTGTAGATCAGGGGATTCAACATGGGGATGACCACGGTGTAAAACACTGACGCCACTTTGACTGTGTGCCTGGAGATTTTGGAGTTGGGCACACAGTAGAGGAAGAGGATGGTGCCGTGGAAGATGGTGATGGCCGTCAGGTGGGAGGCACAGGTGGAGAAGGCTTTGCGGCGACCACTGGCCGAACGCATCTTGAGGATGGTGACAACAATGAACACATAAGACGTGAGAATGAAGAATAGTGTGCTGACTTCATTGAAGGTGGCAAAAATGAAAAGCAGCAACTGGTTGAGATATGTGTCAGAGCAAGAGAGGGAGAGCAGTGAGGAGAACTCACAGAAGAAGTGATTGAGCGTGTTGAAACCCCAAAACGATAATTTGGTAACAGAACAGGTGAGTATCAA